AGCTCAGAGGGGTGGTTTTCCTCTCCTCGGGTGTGAGTGTGTTGCACTGAAGCTGAAATGAGACCATGGTGTGGTGAGTAGTAGTCGGCATAGTTGTAATCTGCTGCTTTTCCTGCACGAATAGGCTTCCTTCTCGCAGGGACAGAGCTCAGTTGGAACGAGTAAGGGAATTGAACCTGCAGGGGCTGGAGGTGACTTCTGTGATCGCCTGGCCATGCAGGAAAGTTACCGTCTGAAAAGTGAGATTGTCACAACTGATAAATAGCCAGTGTGATTCGTGGATCTTAAAAACAGGGTAGCGGACTGACAAAACCACAAAGTTTTTCTTCTGCTTTGCTTTCACCTGGGTCTCTGATCCCTGTGATTTTTCCATCGCCCTCAAGTTTGAAATCTGGTGGCACCAGGGCTGGTGTGTCTTGCTCTGCCACCTTGGGAGTCCTTGGTTTCCTGGTCCTCTGCCCTGTGTTGCCCCAGGTTCTTGTTTTCCTGTGAGGAGACCTACAGAGACGGGGTGCCTTGGTGCCCCAATGTGCACTCGTCCATTCAGGTTGCCGTTCCCCGCCGTGCTCTCCATTTGCTCACCCATCTCAGCCCCACCGAGAGAGCAAAGCCCCTCAGAGCTTGATGCTCCGGACGTGGTGCCTTCAGTGTGCGTCTGGGTTCCTGTGAAGGTTCTTTTGTATCGTGGGTTTTCCTGCTTGATTGTCTATAGCAGGTGTTTCACGACATGTGAGAAACTTTGTTCCAGAAAAGACTTTCATGAACTGTTTGGGTTTTTTCTCTGCTCTTCTCAGAGAAACCTTTGCAGAACAGGACCTTTCCTTCTTCGTTAGATTTTCGCAGCTGCTGGAGGATAGAACTGCTGCATGCGTGGCTGTAACTTTCTATATGCAGGGCGGTAGTAAAGTTAGCATCACCTTGCAACCCTGCAAAGCCCGATACACTGCCGGGATGCTAGCGGGCCCGGACACTGTCCTGTGGAAATGGGCTGGCTTCGGCCTACTTCTTCAGTAAGCCCACACTTACTTAATTCACCTGCACTTGAGAAGTGAAATGCATTAAGAGTGTAGAATATGAGTTTTCAAAGCCTGTCCTTTTCTGACCACCTCCCCCACGAGCACACAAACATCCCAGAGACATTTTCTCTTGTCTGGGAAGGTGGGGGAAAACAAATAACTACCTTATCTCCCAAAGGAGAACATAGTTTTCGTGGGAAGTAAGTGTAGGAGGTGTAGTTGGGAGCGGCAGGCGGTGTTGTGGAAGGAACGTGGCCTTCCTTTGGGAGTCTTTGTGGTGAGGAGAGGTCACACGTACCCCCTTCCTAGTGAAGGCGGGGTCCCAGGGCTGCAGCGCATGGTGAGTCTCACAGGACTTGACAAGTGTTAGTAGTGAGGCTGAGAAGCCCACTGTTGAGGCTGAGTCAAACACAGGTAATTTGTCACCCTGAGAGAGTGCTGCTTTAAAGACTATCCCAAGACATGATACCAGTCATTAGCTGTTTGGGCTTTTTTCTAGCTGTCCCCACAAAGCCTCGTGTGGTCGTAGGTGGGGCTTTTTCAGAGGTGGCCTGGATCTAGAGTGTGTGAGGCTGACTTTAAAGGTATGTGATTACTAAACCACTACACTGATTGGTTTGGAGAAGATAAAAGGGGCAGACAGACACTGTGAAGGTTCCCTGGCTCGCTTGTTCTTGCTGTCTTCCACCGCCATGAACTGTTGCCCCTCTGCCATGTGCCACGCTGCTTTGTTGCCAGCCGATTATGCACTGAAACCTCTCTAAACTGTGAGCTAAGTAGACCTTCCCCCCCTTAAACTTTGGGTGTCAGGTATTTTGTCTCAGCAGTGAGAAAAGTAAGTAAGACATTAGTCATCAAGGATATACCTGAAGAATTTCTTGACATACTTGAAGTCAAAGGTACCAGAGAAAAGGTCATGTGGTTTTAGTTATGGAGGAATGTATAACATTTTAGTGTGAAAAATATATACAACTTAAAATTGACCGGCAGAAACAAAAATGTGTTCTGCTTTGACCTTTGAGTGTATAATTCGGTGACATTAAATACATGCAGATGTACAGATGTTTGTACAAACATCACCGCTATTCATTATCTGGACTTTGTATCCTCCAACACTGAAAATCCAACACTTAATTGCCTGTTCCCTCTTCTACCAGCCTCTGAAAAACCTCCATTCTACTTTGTGTGCATGGTTTTGACCATTCCGAGAGCTTCCTCCAAGTTGGGTGATTCGTATCTGTTCACACCTGGCTTATTTCACTTCGTATAAAGTGTCAAAGTTGACCATGTTGTAGTATGTGGCAGAATATCCTCTTGCAGGGTGCTGAGCATTACTGAACCCGGGCCTCATGCGTGCTGGGCAGGTGCTCTGCTATTGAGCACCCCTCAGCAGCAGCCTTCTGTTTTTAAAGGCTGCGTACTATTCCGTTGTGTATATACCACAGTTTATCTGTTCGCCTCTTGCACATGATTTGGGGGCTTTCTACCTACAGTGCGTAATTGTTTAAAGGCAAGAGTGAGATAGGGTTGTACTTCTCTGCCTACCCACCACGGTCTTGGACGTCCCCTAGATAGTGAGCCTGGGCTCTAGATGCCATCGTTCGCTTCTCTGGTGACCCGAGTGACGCCAGCTAGGGTACTGGAGGACCCCGCCTCAGACAGCTTCACCGTCCCTCCTTCCCCCCCTGCACTTTGGGTTGCAGTAGCTTTGGTGACTCACCCTTATCTCCTGGGCTGAGTCCTCTTCCTCCAGTGTTGTGGGCTGGGGATCCATTTTGGGTGCTTGTCTGTCCTCCAAGTCCTGGTTTCTGTATGGATGGCCGGCCTCCCTTTGTCACCTTCGACCCCACTACCAGAATTTAAGTACTTTCCGCTGCTGGCCATTCCACCTGTAGGCCACCTTGCTCCACTGTGTCCTCAAGACAGCCAGCCACCCTTGGTCCATCCACTTGGGTGGTGTCTGGCCTCTGGGTTTCTTCTCCCCCCTTTCTTTTTTCTTCTACTGGAGGTTCAACCTAGGACCTTTGCACTGAGCTGCATTCCCAGCTCTCGCGCTCTCTCTCTCTCTCTCTCTCTCTCTCTGACTTTTGAAATCCCATCGTTGACTGAATCATTTCATATATTTGTTTCAAATGGTCTTTTAATTTTGTGTGTGGTGCTGACTCTTTTTTTAATGTAAGAGCTTAGTCGTCCTGGGTTTAGAAAAATCAGCAGCTTTGGAACAGAGGCTTCGTGAGTGGTTTCATGAGTCTTTGTGCTGGCTTTTGGAGAAGTTAGCCTCATGTTAACCTAGCATACAGTTGAGGAGTGGTGAACTTTCACACTCTACATGGATGGCTCATAACAAGCCTCCTGCCACCTCTCACCTGGGGTTTATTTACAGTTTGTAAAGCTTTTTGGGAGTAAACAGGAGTTTTTTTTTTTGGAGTGAGCCAAGTAGTAAATATTCTTGGCTTTGTGGGTTCAAAGGCTGAATGCCGCCCTATAGCAGTATGTAAATGAGCAGTTGTGGATATGTTCCAGTAAAACAAGGCAACCCAGAGGCTGCTGGCTGTATTCGGCTCACTTGCTGTAGTTTGCCAACTCCTTGTGGAAAAAATAGTTGTATTAGCTGGGGTTAAGTGCCATCCAATTGTTTTATTACTGTGTGAGAAATAGAATCAAAAGATCACAGTTTCTCAGAATAAAAGTCATGAAATGGATGGCAGTCCAGCTTTTTTGTTGTTTTTGTTTTGTTCTTTTGTTGCTCTGTGGAGGATGGAATCTGGGGCCTTGTGCAGGCTAGCGAAGTTGACTTATCAGTAAGGCACACCCATAGCCTGAGATTCAGAGTTTTAAGGGCTCACTTAAGACATGCAGAATGGGCTGTGTTTAGCCTGAGTCATCCTGAATGTCTGAATATACACAGCATGGTTTTATGCAGTAATGTGATTAGGACTCATGTAAGCAAGGATGTGGAGGAACTGGAAACCTCTCCAATGGGAACGTCAAGTGGTGCAATTGCTTTGGAAAGCAGTCTTCATAATGTCCCAGTGACCGTGGAATGCAGACGTTTGACTTCTAGGTGTATACCCGGCAAATGAAAAAATGTCCACACAAAAATTTCTGTACCAGTGTTCACAGCAGCCCTGTTCATCAGAACCCAATGCAGAAACACAGAAATAGCCACCGACTGACATGTGGATAAACAAAATACAGCCCATTCGTGCCATAGAATATGATCCAGCCGTAAAAAGGAATGAATTGCTGACTCACGCTACAACATACACAACTCGGAAAGCATTATGCCAAGTTGAAAGAGCCCGCATGTGTGTGGTGTTCCACATCCCCAAACAGGCACATCTCTGAGTCTAGACGCAGAAAGTACATCAGTGATTGCCAGGGGCTAGGAGGGGTGGAAAGTGACTGCTAGTGAGCACAAGGTTTCTTTTGGCAGGAGGGGACTGTGAAATGGATCGTGATGATGACTGTGCAATTCTATGCACAGACCAAAAGCACACCGTCGTGGTTGCTTTATATGAACGAATGTGAGGTATCTGAATTACATTGCCATAAAACTTAGAAAAACAGCCTAGCCAGGTACAGGAATGATGTATGAGCAGTGAATAGTGCGTAATAAACACTGCGCAGAAATGCAGAGAAGGAATCAGTGTCGTTCGATCCCTTATTTTTGGTTGGTTTCTGAGTTTTCCAGTTGCCGTATTAGATAAACGGCCTCCTTGTCCTTGGGAAGGACACAGGTGGGTGATGGAGAGCCGCACTGCAGTCTCCCTTCTGCAGCGCCGTCAGCCTCTGGGCCCTGTTCCCTCCTGGCTTCCGGGCCCCCGTGGTCTTTTGGCTCCTGGGTAATCCCAGAGCCAGCCCTGGGTCCCAAAGCCGGGTGTGCCCTGACCTGTTGTGCTCCCGGCGGCCTGCGAGGCCTTGCTGGACTCGGGAATCGCTTGCTCCTCTTGGAGGCTGATGGAACTTGCTTCTCTGTTGCAGATTGAGGAAGGCAGTAAAGCTGCGGCTGTGGACAAGTTACTGGCCGGAGACGAGATCGTGGGCATCAATGACATTGGCCTCTCGGGGTTTAGACAGGAAGCGATTTGCCTGGTGAAAGGGTCCCACAAGACCTTGAAGTTGGTGGTCAGAAGGTAAGCCCCGTGTCTCCCCGATGTTGGCCAAGACAGGCAGCAGTGAGCAGAGCATCCGTATCACCGGGGAGACCTTGACTAGGCTTGAAGTTGTGCGTGTGCGCGTGCGTCCGTGTGTGTGCACTTAGACGTGCATCCGTCTCAATATCCTCGAGTGCTCCAGCCCTGTCTATAAGATGGCATTGTTGTGTTCGTGTGTAACCTCTGCACATCTTCCCGCAAGCTTTAAATCACCTCTGGATGACTCATAATACCTAACGCACCTTGTCAGCAGTTAGGCTGCATTGCTCGGGGCCTGACCCTGAGAAAAAAGTCCTTACGTGTTCCTTACAGAGGCATTTTCCCACGTATTTCCATTCTGAGGTTCTGTATGCAGAACACGTGGACACAGAAGGCAGACTGCATACCTTGGGATGAATCCAGCAGTAAAAATGGAAAATCCCCAGCCCATGTTTTGCTAATTTAAACAGTGTTTCAATAAATGTCTTCACAGCCATGTTTTTTTTCTTTTTTGGTACCGGGATGAACTTGGGATCTTGCACTTGCAAGGCAGGTGGCCATACCACTGAGCTAGATCCCAGGACATGTCCCCTCACTGGAAGCACAATATTATCTACACATTGCTAAACATACCAGTATTAAACTCACTTAGTAAGTGAAAAATCTTTTTTTCAAAAACAGTAACAGAGGGCCAGGGATTTAGCTCGGTGGTTCCGCCACCTGCCTTGCAAGTACAAGGACCCGAGTTCGATCCCCGGTACAAAAAAAATAAAAATAAAATGAGAAAAAAATGCTAGGATCACAGGAGTGGGCCGCAACACCCTGGGAATACGTTCATCTTAAAAACTTTTAATAAGACCTTGTAACTCAAAAACTAAGATTGTAGAACAGTGGCAGTTTCGGAGCCACTTGAGGCTGGACTATGGGAAGTCCTGTCACTGTACGCAGATTCCTCGGTGGTATCCATTTGTCCCCACAAGAGTCAGTCAGACTTGATCAGGGGATGGCAGAAAGCCATGCTGCTTGGCTTCCAGCCCCACTCTTGTGAGGAGACGCCATGAAGCCGGCACAGCCCACCGTCCACAGCCTCTCTGTGGCCCTGTTCCTGGCCGGGGGTCTTGCGTCCAAAGGTGTGGGCACCATGAACTTTGACAAACGTCTCCATATTCTGCTGGCCACTTGCTGGCCCCGTCACCTCTCCTGTATGGCGTTTTCATCCTCTATGAATGTGAGAAATGAAAAATGATTTTACTGTTTTTTTATTCTTTGCATTTCTGAAATTGGGAGTGAAGCTGGGCCTTATTCCATGTGCTTAGAAATGTGAAATACGTGATTCTTTTTAACTTTCTTCCGTTTTTTGTACTGGAGAGTGAATGCATTCTAGGCAGGTATTGTACCTTTGAGCTATTTCTGAATTTTTACAAACTAGAAATGCATATTTCATAATAGACACGGACAACCCAAGGGCAGAGCCCAGGCCACCTGAGAAGGAAAGAGAGGAAGCCACGGGGCACCTGCTGGCCTGCGTCTTTAGAAATCTCCAAGGAAGAGGGATTCAACCTTTGTCCCAAGGCTTTACATAGAACCTGTCTTGTGTTTTACATGACCGGTTTCCAGTGGGTGTACTGAAGGATTGTGTGGTTTGGATGGAACTTTATAGTTTAACGTACAGCAAAATCCAAAAACCAAGCAGTGAATTTGAAAACTTGCAGATACACTTCTAATAACGTACTGAAGTTTTCAGATTTTTCAAAATAATTTGTTAATTTTTCAGTGACAGACATGGGTAATATTTTCGCTGAGTAGACCAGAAACAAGTTTGGCATGGTGCTTTGTTCAGTGAGGTGAAGGAAAACTTTCTAAGTTAATAGATTAATACTGGGATTTGTTGCTGTCGCACAATGAATAGTGAATGAGGACTGTCCATGATAAAAGACATACATTATTAGCACATCTACAACTCCAGGCTTTTTCCTTTTTCCGTATTATGAAAGCACACTGATGATGAGTGCTTTAGAAATTATTTTTTAAGCCCAGGCAACTATTCTTCTGTATCTAAAATTTGATCTTCCTACCTCCTTCCTTTGCCATTCCCAGTGGCTGCTACTCTTCCTTCCGGCCAGATGGATTAGTTAGCATTTACTAGCCTTGCATGTAGAACTCCAGGCTGGACTGTGACCCATAAAAAAGGCAGGCTGCGGGGTGATGTGTGGTTAACAAACTCATGGCCCTGGTTCCATCCCAGCCCCACCAAAAAAAAAAGGTCTGGTTTATCAAAATGCATTCTGTAAGTAATCCATAGTCTCAGCTGTGAATGCCACTAGCATCCGCTATTTCCTGACTTAAAAGCATGACCCAACGATAGATTCGGTGGCTCACCCTGAACTTGGGGTACCCCCTGTGAAGCAGGGGGGAAAGGGTCCTACACTTCTGAGCTAAGCTGCTCTCTTGTATCTTTGCTTGGCCAAAGAAGTGCCCCTTTCTGAGAAGGTCCAGGGTAGAGGGCAGCCTCTACCACCTGTCTGTCTCTCTCTATGGTTGCCATTCACACTTTTCTCCTTCCTCAATGTCCAGGCCCCTGGCGATCCTGCGGTCAGGTCTGGAATGGTCTGGGCTCTGGAATTTTCAGGAGGCCACAGGTTGTTTTGCTGGGTGGCTGTGCTGCTTTGGCCACTCACTGGCTTGAGCAAAGACTGAGGCCAGACTGGGTGGCACATTAACTTATCAGCCCAGGAGATAGGAGCCCTTGCTGTTGGAAGTACTGATAAAGAGCTAGAGCACCTAGGCTGTCTGATTGCAAGAGGTCATGGCTGTTTCTGATAGCTGGGGAAACAGTCATCTAGTTTTCTCAAGTCATGGGCAAATTACTGCAAGCTCAGCTCCTAAAGAGTAACTAGAGTTTTTTGTTTTTTTATTGCGGTGCTGGGGATGGAACTCAGGACCTTGCGCTTGCAAGGCACGCGCAGTGCCACTGAGCTGAATCCCCAGCCCCTAGACTTTTCAAGTGTCTTGGCAAAAAATTTCTTTTAAATATCACACCATAAAATTATTTTGTAAAGCTTATAATTACCCTTTGGATCTTTTTTCCAGACGTGTATTATAATGCTAGTTTTCCTTACAGTCGAGTACACTGGCCACCTAATCCTTAATCCCACTCTGGAAAGTTTCCTTTGTGACCCTGTGGTGGGCTGTAGGTACTTCTGTTGGGGCCAGATCACCCATAGGGTTCATACATGTAGTTCGCTGCCTCTTTGTGCCAGACTTAAACCCTTTGTGAATCTAATTACATCCTCTAAGCTTGTATTCAGGAGCGGATTAATGCCAAGGGGAGTTGTATGCTGGAGGCTGTAAGGGTTAGAATCCCTGTCCAGTGGTTAGGTATTTGAAGAAAGGAGGCTCCCAATAGAGTGACAACACTCATACTTGCCAGGAGCAAGTTTCTTGCTGTGCACATCCCTTCTGGGATGTCCTGAAGCTGCATTAACATGGGCTTTAAAAACTGGTCCCAACAGTGCTCCCCTCCACTGCTGATTTGGTGGAGCTGTCCTAGAGCAGGTGACCCTGGGGCCCTAACACTGATTAGCGCAGATGTTCCCGCAGGAGCACTGTGAAGTGCTGTGAAAGGAGTAAGGGGCTCCCTTCCCCACCCCCTCCCTCTCTCCTCCCAACTCCTCCCTGCTCTAGAGAGCTTTTTATGGGGCCAAATGGTCTTCTGAAGGGTGTGCTTCCAGTGGGGTTGCTGGGGTGTCTGGGAAACCGTGCTTTGGAGACTGGCCTCTGTTCATCATGGCTGGAAGGGACTCTTTCTCCCGTGTGTGCTCTGGGGGCTTCTGGTCATTTGTGTTTATTTTTGTTGTTAAAAACAGTGATATTGAGGTTTATGCTGGACAGGCACCCTGCCTTGTTGGAGCTGTTTTCCAGTGTTGTTTAGGGGAAAAAAGAGAAAACCCTAAAGATCAGAACTGTTTTACTTTGGGGCGAATTACTTTCATTTCCAGTTTAGTGTGTGGCTTCAGTCATGTAATCAGATGAATATCTAATTATGCGAGGCTTTTTCATAGTCCATGTCAAAATGGTGAAAAGTAGAAGTTTATTTTTATCATTGCAGTAAAGGAATTAGATCTTTATGAAATACGCATGCATATGGTGGGTAAGCAAGATGTGCAAATGATGTTCGTATAACCTACTTTGGGAACATTGGTGGCTTCTCATACAGTAAGACACACAGAGCATGTTTCACGTGTTGTTTATTGTTTTCTGAGAACTGTGAATGCTGGCTAATTGGTTTCACACTACAGATTAAGTTCATTTTGAAGTCTGGGGACCTCAGAAATTACTCACAACATTAACAGTGAAGCTTCTAAGGACTTGTGGTGTGCTCTGTGGGAACCTCTGCAACCTTAGTTTTTCCCTTGAGGAGTAGCTCTGCCAGGGAACGGATGTCTCACACTAGCCACTTGCCAGGGTGCTGTTGTGGGAAAAGGGAGGAATCCCCCCCACCCCCGCCCAAGCCAAGGAGAGAAGCCCCAGGGTTGCTGGCAGTGGACAGTGAGTGACTTCATGCCAAGGGGCTGCTGCCCCAGTAGCAGATGACTGGGTGAATATTGCTCCCTACTGGAGCTGCCTCCATGGGCCTGGCTACCCCCAGCCCCCCTCCCCCCTTTGGTCCGAGGCAGGAAGAAGTCTGGCGAAGAAGGCAAGCAGGTCACCTCTGCTGTCCAGCGCTAGTGTTTTCTAGAAAGAAAGGGACACGTGTCACCTTTACGGAAAACCTGCCCAGCCCCTGTGGTTTGGGAGAGTCAAGGATGCAGAGGGCTCTTCTTTGGCTTGATGGTTTCGCATGGATTCCATCTTCAGTGAGGCGGTACCTGTGGAGATTTTCTTCCGCCACTTATCACACATGGACAGTCATTTCTGGGCATGGACTGGTGGTTTGCTGGACTGACAGGACCTGTGCATCCAAGGGTCATAAAGAGTATGGATTAGAAGTGAAAGGTTTC